AATCCCCCCGACCCCCGCCCCCCCCCCCCCCCCCCCCGCCTCCCCGCACCATCTGAATAATGTAATTAAAGAAACACAAAAATTCGCCAGAGAAGCTGTAACCAGAGGAGACTGTAAGATCCCACACAGGAAAAACGCCTCTGGGCATATTTAGAACACTGTACCCATATTACTGAGAAACAGTACATCGTGTAAACATCTTTTTCTTTAGCTATTTAGTGGATGTCGAGCATTTTATTATTATTATTATTATTATTATTATTATTATTATTATTATTATTGTTGTTATTATTATTATTATTATTATTATTATTATTATTATTATTATTATTATTATATTGCTATATTATATTATTGCTGTCGTGTTATATCTATTTTCGTCAGATGACAGTTTGCTTGTATGATTAAATCTGGGGCAAAATGTCCATGACCCTTTTGAAGAATACATTAAAAATATGAGCGAAATTTTGTTGCAAAAAAAAAAAAGATCATAATTAAGTGGATAAGTTAAATGGGAAACTGATATTTTACATTTTTTTAAGTGTTGTCGCTTTTCATATATTTCCATGAACACTAGATTTAGTCTTGTGTGTGTGTTTGTGAAACAAAGATAACAAAGCCACACCAGCAAAGTAAATATTTGCATTTAAAAAGCTGTTTAAATTATTTACATATGTAAAAATAAATAAATAAAATAAAATAAAACAAACGACAAAAACAAACTCGCATTTTTTTCCCCTGTTTAAATTCTGTGAAACAGAGTGGCTGTATATCTATTTAAAGCTGTGTTCAACGTATCACTGCTGCACCCAAACAAATGTTACATTTCCTTCTATGAAAGTTGCCTGCAAACTAAAATTGCTTGTTTGGTGGTAAAGCTGAAAACGTGCCGAGAACATCGCACTATTTTATTTTTATTTTATTTATTTATTTATTTATTTTTTGCTACAAAACTGCATTAAAAACTGATTTGAGACCGTTGATTTTGATTTAAGGCACGAACAAATGGTCGAAAGCACCAAACACAATTAAACCCATAACATCACATCTGGACGGTTCGCTCCTTGAAATAAGAAGATGCCAAACTACTCATATCAGTGCGCACCGATTCCACCGAGCACCACACATCTGTACGCAACACCAAAAAATGGAATGAGTTTGATTTAACGCTTCATTTTTATTGTATGTATATATATATATATATATATATATATATATATATATATATTTAAAAAAATGTATCTTAAAAATTCACTGTGAACCTAATATATACAATGATGTTCAACGAAACCAAAATCAATTAAACACATGGCATATTTGGTGTTTGAAATAAGGAGATACCAAGTTTATAATTGCACACCAACTCCGAGAAAATAAAAAAGACAAAGAAAGAAAAACATAATTTTCGATCTTTTCACACAAAAAAATAAACGGAATCTCAGTCAATAATAATTTATGTGATTAAATAGCAAACAAATAAAAACGTGTCGATCGGCACGAGATTTCAAAATCAATTTCAGATCCGAAAAAAACAAAAAACAAAACAAAAAAAAAACATAGTGTCTTGGCATGCAGATCGAAGAAGTCAGTGTCTTTGCAAACATAGAGCCCTATCGGTATTATCAGATGTCGAGACGTTTATCATCTCCTTTGCATATCACGTGTTTGGCCTTGGCCAATAACCTCCCGATCTCGGAGCACTCTGGTGTGCTGGTATCGTTACTCAGCCCTGGGTCCCTGTCTCGGCTCAGTCGAGGGGATTTATGAAAAAGAGCTGCTCCTCTCCTCCCATGTAGGACATGCTATGACCGCCTCGTTACTCCTCGGCTCGCCCTGGATCGACCCGGTCATGTTCCTTTACGACGGCGGCTCGCAAGAGGAGAGAAGCAAGAACATGGAAGGCTTCACAGGTGGGAACTTCGCAGCAAACCAGTGCAGGAATCTGTTGGCGCATCCAACCTCACTGGCTCCCAGCACCACCTACGCTGCAAGCGATGTGCCAGTCTCTGGGGTGGGGGAGCCTGGCAAGCAGTGCAGCCCCTGCTCTGCCACTCAGAGCTCGCCCAATGCTTCTCTGCCCTACGGATACTTTGGCAGCGGGTACTACCCATGCAGGGTGTCACACGGCGGCGTCAAGGCGTGCGCGCAGCCCTCCGGTTATGGAGAGAAATACGCGGACTCTTCTGTCTCCGGTGAGGCGAAGGAGTTTGCCTTCTACCAGGGATATTCCTCCAGCCCCTACCAGACCAGCTACCTGGATGTGCCGGTGGTACCTGCGCTGAGTGCGCCACCCGAGCCAAGAGAGTCTCTGCTGCCCATGGAGCCCTATCAGCCCTGGGCCATCACTAACGGATGGAGTGGTCAGGTTTACTGCACCAAGGAGCAATCACAGGCAAACTCTCTGTGGAAATCCTCATTACAAGGTATATTACTAGGTAAAAGATTCAGTTCAAATAAATTGCATGGGTTGATGCAAAAATCTTATTTTTGAGCAAAAAAAAAAAAAAAAAAAAAAAAAAAAAAAAAAAAAAAAAAAGAAAAGAAAAAAAGTTTTACATTTCATTCTGCAGTTTCGTTTGTTTTCTGGAGTGTAATGCTGCATTTCTTTTTCACCCACAGACTCCTTATCTGGCGGTATGGACAGCTCGGTCCGTCGTGGGAGAAAGAAACGCGTGCCATACACAAAGGTGCAACTCAAAGAATTGGAGAGGGAGTACGCCACCAACAAATTCATCACCAAGGACAAAAGGAGACGGATATCCGCGCAGACGAACCTGACAGAGAGACAAGTGACGATCTGGTTCCAGAACAGGCGTGTAAAGGAGAAAAAAGTTGTCAATAAGTTCAAGAGCTCTAGTTAGCTCTGGAGACATTCCCAAGACGTGGAAGGCGGACATGGGTGCGCTTTCAACAGTGGAAGAAAAAAAGAAAAAAAGAAAAAAGAAAAAGATAGAAAACTGTGCTATAATTTATTCCATTTATGAACTGTTACACACTGTCGCCGGAACGGCTCTGGTTTGAACTATAACGTTTCCTTCCTCGTTTTAATTGGAACCAGTCCGTGGGGCCTGTTGGCAGAAGGTCGGAAGAGATGTAGAGTTTGAAGCGATTTTGCGGGACGTTTCAGTAGTCACCATCCTGACGAGCATTCTGACAAATATTCTGCGTTGACTTTGGTGAACCACCAGCAAATTGTGCGCATTTTCCTTTTAATAAGAAAATATAAGGCTGAAGCGCAAGAATGAAAAAGAAAAAAAAAACAAAAAACTTTTGGTTTCAGACTGTGGTAAAGAGTAACAAAAGCAGGTTATTATCATGAAATTACTAGAACACATTTGTAGTATTTGTATCCGAATATTTAGCTCCATCCCCAATTTGAGAAATGAATTTTCCTATAAAATCAACTTTCATCACATCTTTCATTCTCAGCGGGTTACCTATGAAACTTTACCAAGCGTTTCATTAGGATTTCCAATGTTTCAATCAAAGGCGCCTTAGGAACCTTTTCAGAGAGGTGGCCAGATGGTCTCCGCTGATAGTCTTGGCGTGAGACACTGAAACCAAAAGCTTCAACAGAATTTTATTTTTATTGTGCAATCGTTAGAAATACGGGGCAGGGGGAGGGGAATAATCAAAGATGGCACACCATGAAACACCAGAACGGACATACAAATAAATTATTTATATAAAAAAATAAAACAAATAAAAATATGTTTTGCTTTTTCTCTCTTGTGCGGAATTAATTTCCAAAAAAAAAAAAAAAAAAAAAAATGAGGGGGTTACCCGCAAACATGTAACGAAGGCGTCTGGCACCTTTGCCCCCACCTTTGGTGGCGCCACTGATTTTAAGAGTTTGTCAGTTTGTCTGAAAAAGGCCTGTACTTGCCTTTTTTTTCTCCTGTTGCTCCCGCATTTACATTTTGTCCTCCTGCTTACTTTTCAAGAAGAAGAAGAAGAAGAAGAAGAAGAAGAAGAAGAAGAAGAAGAAGAAGAAGAAGAAGAACTCTACATGACTGGATGAACTACACCAAAACATGTGTAAATATTTTATGCGCAGCCGAGTGAGTTTCCTGTTTCTTATTCATAAACCAACGTTGTTGTTTTTTTGACAATATATGTTTGACAGACACTATAAGTGCACTGATGTCACTGAGGTTTCATTTATCTTTCTGTTTCATGGAATAAAGTGATTGACTGCGGTTTCAAATGAAAATATGATTTATATTGCCTGGTATGACGATAGAAGTGTTAACAGGCCAACAGTTTGATTCAGGTCCCAGTATTAATCACAGAGACTCTGTGTCGCCATCTAGCGGCGAATCTTTGTCAGCGCAGTTTTCCTGCCTATGGGCTGCGGTTCCAGAATCTGTAGCTGTTTTGTTGGCCGCTCCTCAATTTGCCACTTCTTACTCGACTTAAGGTCTTTCCTATAATGGGGAGGTTTTGTAAGTTGCTTTACTGCATTGAAATGTAGTTACATGACCTCAATAAATAATATATATCAGCAATAAGTTGCTGGGATTTATTTCGGTTTGTTCACAATGTAACACGTAAGAGTCGACCATTTTACACGGCTCTTACAACGCAACCAAACATCAAAGGTTACATTGCAATGTAATTTCACCATACAAATGGCGAAATTATATTGCAACACATGAACTACAGTAATATTGAATAAATTATAATACTATTGGAAAGTTCATTTATTTCACTGACTCGATTCACTAAGTGGAACACATTACAACAATTACACACAGACTGGTGATGACTATGATGATTTTCTTCTTACAGTTCATAAAACACAACATTTAATATGAGAAGATTACATTAGACAGATACAAAATATTTTTTATTCATAAATGTGGACTTTATGAAAAGCATGCTCGAGTTGTGCTTGAGGATTGTTATTTTCAAAATATAGGCTACTTGCAGTCTGACAAACTACGTTATCGGAACGTATTAAAAAAAATCACAAATGCATTCATATATCCTATATTTGATATATATTTTATTTTTTTTAGCACTATGATTCATCACACTATAACCACCCACGAGTGACACACGAAGGTTTCTAACATGGGTGTGAAACGATTGTCTTACAAGCTACACAATGGAAGCAGAAAGAAAAATGGCAACATGCATGCATGAACTCTCAATAAAATCTGTATTAGTAAAGAGAGAAATTGATTGAGTCACTCATGTTATTTTTGGAGATTATATTTAATTTTTTGTTCAGTGACAACAGTATTACTATAAGACTTATTTTATTCTGATGCTTAACCAACTGTATGTGTATTCTAACATATCTTTAAAACCTCCATTGAGAAATAAAATGAACAAAACTCTGTTACAACCATTCATTCTTCTGGTATAGTGAAAGTAAAAGAAATCTTAGATTAAATATGGATCATCTCAGTTTATATAATAACATATTTAATAAGGGCACATTGCCATTCATCTAAACTCAGAAGAATGGCCTTGGATTGTGATACGGATGGCTTTTATCACAGTTTGGTGCTCAGTTATAAACACGCTGGTAGGGTGTTTTATATTCTTCCTTCTTATCAGAAAACCTCTACATAAATACTACATCCTAACTGCTTTCACTTAAATCTTGATGTGACAATGTTCCTCTTTGACCTTGCTGCTACGTTATTGTTTTGTGTCATTGCTCCCCCTACTGGTAAGTCAGGTAATTGCATCTCATACCCAAACGTGTAGGCCTTAACTCTCCAAGCACTGGACGCCCATGAACATGCTTTTATGGCCATTTCAGGTTGGTCAGTAGCTCTCTTTATGTAGCCCAGAAAAAACATTCTGAAAAGCTGACTTTATTAAGCTACACACATTGTTCAAATTAGGCCTAAATACAGATGTCGAAAGCGAGACTTGAGCAGCTTATTTGACCACCTCTTTAACTATGTTTAATGATCGGTAAAGGCCTTTAACTTTAATAGTAACTTCATCTTTTCTATGTCTGTCCAACCAATTGAGCCTTAAAACCAGAAGTGATCATTATTAGGATACAGCAGCAGCAGATGAGAACCAGTAAAATGCGTCAATGTAATTATAAATGTAATTTTTTTGTTTCCTCCTATAGGAGAAACACAACACATTTTTATACCATTCATTAACCAAGACATTTGTTAATGTTTTCCGTTTTATTTATTTATTTTTTGTTGGTGATTCCGAGAGGACCAAAAGACTGACCTCTTCAAATAAAATGAAGTGTACTGAAAATTAGTCACACTGTTTAGAGAAAAGTGCGGTTTACTTAGTTTTATTTTTTTTAATTTTTTTACTTACAGAGTGCTCGGAATAAGTCACATCTCCAGTATTTTTCAGCTCGTTTCCCTGTGTTTTTCTACTTTATAACACCTCCCATTCAGCTTTTGTTTCCCTTCACTAGTTTCTATAAAATTATACAACCAATTAGTCTCTAAGACTTTAAACAATGTGGTTAGAGCACAACAAAGAGGCAATATTTGACAAAATAAAAACTGAGTAATCTAAGACGAAAAGGTTTCAGCCTGTATTTAATTTAATTTAATTTAATTTAATTTAATTTAATTTAATGTAATGTAATGTAATGTAATGTAATGTAATTTAATTTAATTTAATTTAATTTAATTTTCATTTATTTACTTATCAATGGGTTTAAAGTGCATTTTATTTGTTTTTAAATATTTCGGACAAGAACGCTTGCCATTTCCTTCTCAAGTGGGGTGAAGACCCAATAAAAGCAAAAGAGGCGCACAACTTTTCGGAAAGTTAAACTGAAATAAAGCGATGCGAGGAAACTGTCTTAAAATCTCATTTCAGCAGCTCCCGGACAGCAAGTCGGAGTTTTAATACTGTTTTTGTCCCCTTTTCCTTAATTTAATAACTACACTGGGTTAATAAGAAGGCGTGGTTTTGCTCCTTTTTCATTTAGGACGCACATTTGACTTAATGTAGTTAAAAATAAAAATAAAAATAAAAATAAATAAATAAATAAATAAATAAATAAATAAATAAATAAATAAATAAATAAAGTTCTAAATGTTGCTTTGTGCCTTTACTTTACTACCATACGTTTTCTATCTCATTTTACAGATTTATCAAATTCGTGATTACTATAATAGGCCATTGTAC